TTCATGGAATAATTATTTTATCTCTATTGAATCCTTCATATTAAATTTATAACTCACATGAATAATAGAAAGTTACTCATATACACCATTCATAGTTACCCGTGCAATACTTCTTGCAGCAATCTTTTATGTACTTGAAAAGTGTGGAGGAGTCTCAAAATAAACGTCTATTCAAAATAAGCTCTTCCTCTAAAAATTCTGGCACTAGAGATAGTTGAATCCTTTCCACAATGGGGTCAGATTTTTCCTATAGAATCTAATTTGCATGTCTAACAAGCACGTTATTCAAAATCAAGTGATCTGTGTTGTCTGGAGTTTATTCATTTTTTGTAAGAATGGATTATGCATTTTAAGAGATTATACCTGACAAAGAACTCTGTGATTCTGATGTGCAAATGCAGAGATGAAGGTGGAGGCAGGAAAATGGAGACATTAATTTGAAAAGTAAAATTCAACCCTTAATATTTACACCCTTTCCCCCAATGTCATCAGAAAATGCTGCCAACTTTCACTTTCCATAGATAGGCTACAAAGTTACTGACAACACCTTTAATGTTCAGCAGATCAAAACTGTGAGAAAGTATTATACTCTTTTTGGCCAACATTAGCTGTGCCACGACATCACTTGGTGTAAATTAGAGAAAACAATAGGTATCATCAGCTCTTAGTTGTAGGTTCTTCATAGACATTCCCTTCTCAAGTTGATGAACTTCCTCTCCATTCCTACTTCACTAAGAGTTTTTATCATGAATGGGTGTTGGGTTTTGTCAAATGCTTCTTCTATGCAAATTGATATGATCATATTATGTTTCTTCTTTAGCCTGTTGATATAGTGAATTACAATGATTGATTTTTAAATGTTGAACCAGCTTTGCATATGTGGACTAAACCCCGCTTGATCATTGTGTGTAATTCTTTTAATACACTGTTGTATTCTCTTTGTTGAGGATTTTTGCATCTATATTCATGAGAAATATCAGTCTGTAATTTTCCTTTCTTATATTATCTTGTTCTGAGTTTGGTGTGAGGGTAGTGCTGGCCTCATAGAATGAGAAGAGTTCTCACTACTTCTATTTTCTGGAAGAGACTATGAATTTGACAGTAACACCATCTGCACCAGGTATTTTCTTGTTTGGGAAGTTTACTAATTTATTTAATAGCTATAGGACAATTCATGTTATTGCCCCTAGTGTGAGTTCTGATAGTTTGTATCTTCAAGTAATTGTCTCATTTTAACTAAATTACCAATGTGGTGGCTGTAGAGTTGTTTGAAGTACTTTTTTAATCTTTATTGCTGAAAGTATTACATATGCCCCCGTTCTTCCCCAACCTAGCTGCCCCCCCACCACACCCATTTTTTTTTTTTTTTTGCAATGCTTTAATGTCCATGGATGGCTCTTCTTTAATTTCTGATATTATTAATTTGTGCCTTCTCCATTTTTCAGGTTAGCCTAGCTAGAGGTTTGTTATCTTGAATAACCTCTTCAAAGAATCAGCTTTGGATTGTAGTGATTTTCTCTAATGTTTTTCTGTTTTCTATTTCATTGATTTCTCCTCTAAGATTTATTTACTGTCTTCAGCTTGTTTTGACTTAAGTTGCTCTTCTTTGGCCTCCTTTTCCAAGATGAAAGCTTAGGTCATTAATCTTATATCTTTCTACTTTTCTAATATTTGCATATAATGTTATAAATTTCCCTCTAAGCACCACGTTTGCTGCATACCTCATATTTGATAAGTTGTGTTTTATTTTCCTTTAGTTCAAAATATTTTTCTGATTTATTTTAAGGCTTCTTCTTTGACCCATGGCCTATTTAAAAATGTATTAATTTCCAAACATTTGAAATTTTCTAGCTATCTTTCTGTTACTGATTTCTCACTTAATTCCATTGTCTAAGAATATACTTTGTAAGATTTCTACTCTTTTAAATTTATCAAGGTATGTTTTATGGCCAGAATGGGATCTACCTAATGAACACTCCATTTAAGCTTGAGAAGAACAGGTATTCTGCTGCTATTTAATGAAGAACTTTGAATTTTCAAACAAACAAATGAGCATAATTAGAAAATTATTCCATTAGAAGACTATTATATTAGAAATAACATTTGGCCCTAACCGGTTTGGCTCAGTTGATAGAGGGTCAGCCTGCAGACTGAAGGGTCCCAGGTTCTATTCTGGCCAAGGGCAGGTACCTTGGTTGTGGGCACATTCCCAGTGTGGGGCGGGGGGGTGCAGGAGGCAGCTGATCGATGTTTCTAACTCTCTATCCCTCTCTCTTCCTCTCTGTAAAAAGTCAATAAAATATATTTTTTTAAAAAAAAGAAATAACATTTGAATTTATCCTAAACTTCCTAGACACTGGGTATATGAGTAAAGGCATAGGAACAGGTAGGACAGGTCCAAATGTGAATGCTTTATTCATTCTTTCAGGAGATGATTTAATACACACATTTTCAGAAATTCAACAGTGAATTGATTTATATCATGCTTTAAATGATTTGCACATTGTAAAATATTCCTTGCAATTTGATGCTAACCAGAAACTGAGCAGCTATAGTAATATACACGTGATTTTATCTGCAGGAAATAAGAGCAGTGCAATTTCTCTACAATTATGATTACAGTTGGAAAGATTAAAGCTTTTATGCCAATTTTTTTTAAGATGTAAGAAAAGGCAATGTTTGCCAAATGCAAAAAGGAAGGCATTTAATTTTTAGTCTTCTGAGAGATTATTAAACACATTGCATAAAAACTTTTCCTAAGGGTTTTTTAAATTCTTCATTTATTACACCAATTTCTAATTTAAACATAATTGAAGAGAATAAAATGAGAGCAAAGGGAGTAAAATCCCATGCCACTAACTACTGTTTTCTATAGCAGTCTCTCTGAATATAGTCAATAAGATTCTGATGAGAATGTTTTCATTTTCTAGCCACTCTCTTGATAACCAAATTATTCTTTACATAATCTAGCAACATCTATCCAAGAGAATCTACAACAACCCAATTTTTAAAAGGTGAAAGGTAACCCTAGCCAGTTTGGTTCAGTGGATAAAGTGTCGGCCTGTGGGCTGAAGGGTCCCAGGTTCGATTCCTGTCGAGGGCACATGTCTGGGTATCAGGCTAGATTCCCCACTAGGGGGCGTGCAGGAGGCAGCAGATCAATGATTCTCTCTCACCATTGATGTTCCTATCTCCCTCTCCATTTCCCTTCCTCTCTGAAACCAACAAAAACATATTTTTTAAAAAAATAAATAAAAGGTGAAAAGTAACCTGAAAAGGTCAATTAATCAAACTCTAATAAATTCAGCAAAAATTAATCAACTGTGTTCCAGTAAGATTTCACCCAAGCCATCCCACAAGTTATAATTTTTGTTTCTAGAACTCACCGTGTTATAAGTTGCTGAAACTCCCATTACATCAATCTTAAATTAATAATGTTCTGAGAAATCTCTTCTTTATGTCTTTTTTCAATTCCCCTTATTATAATTTAAGTAACTGTTATCTCAACTTGCTATTTCCATTCAAAAATATGATTGAAACATGATCCAGACAATGACTAGTATGAATGTGTAAGAGTCATGGAGTACAATTTTATTTTTGAGTTCAACCAATAGATTTTGTTAAAATAATAATAACAATAATATATTTAAAAGACAGCCTAATTCGTAAGAGTAGTAATTCCTTTGAAAATTACCTTTTGTTGAATCATCCTCTATTGGCTGTTTGAACAATGTAATATCCTTGAAAGTGCATAGGAACAAGACCACCTTTTCATGTTCATTTCTTATTGGTGCAATTTGCATATAAAACCAAACAGGAGTTCCTGAAAGAGAAAGAAAGGACAACAGAGTGTGGCAAAGCCTCAGCAATGACTTGGTCTCCTGCCTTTCCTCTAACTTCAGCTGCCAACTGCTATGCCAGGAATTAACACCAATACAATAGTATTTTAACTGCTAAAAAGGATCCAAGAAAACTTTAATTTTGTATCAACTACCAGTTGCTCAAAAATTAACAAACAGAAGGAAATAGCTAAAAAAACATATATGCGTGGGGAAGGCCTGGGATGGGGCAGGAGTTGGGCGGAGGGGGGCAAAAAGGGGGAAAATGGGAGACATCTATAATACTGTCAACAATAAAAATAATGACATTAAATTAAATAATTTAAAAAGGACATATATGCATATACCATGGACACAAGTAATAATTTGGTAAAAGCCAAGGTAGGGGTAGGCAGGGGAGGGTAGAGGTGGGCAAAGGGGGAGAAGAGGACTTCTGCAATAATGTCAACACTAAAAAATGTTTAATAAAAGAATAATGATAATAATAATAAATTTATACACATATTTTTCAACACAAAATACCAAAACTTGAAAGTAAAGCCCAGGGTGTCATTTCACAACGCGGGAGCACAAAGGCAATCTCGCTACTGAAGTGACACACGCACTGCTGCTCTGACCAGGTTCCTTCAGATAGTCTCACCAAGTGTGGCCACTCCCAGGAGCTTCTCATTGTCACTTTGAGAAGTGCTTCCACTTGACTTCAACAGTAATACCTGATGCTCTGGTAAGTACTCCTCTGGGAAGAACATCTGAAATGCTGGGATAGACTTCTAAGATAGCTCTATGGCTTTGACTGTACCCCCGCCTCAGAGACACTAAGGCTGGTGTACGCAGAGCTCTACCTGACGCCTTTAAAACAACGTTAAAGGGGGGAAAATTATCCCCAGCCCTTGAGAGACTCAGGTGTCTTTATGAGCCACTGCTTCCTCCCTCCCTCCCTCAAAGCAGGAGGCTGGACTCTCACCAGGTTGTTCAAACAGTGGCTCTTGCAGACCATGGAGGACAGTTTCGTGCTTAAGTTCTGGACCAATCAGAACTGGCATTATGTCAAATAAATATCTGAAGATCAGAGAAATGACTTCAAAGGAGTAATTATCCATTAAACAATCGAACACTGAAGGAATGTTCCATCAGAATCGAAAAGACTTATTTTCCATCATGTTAGCTCTAAGCCACAGTGCAGTAAAGCCTCCCCAAATATTCTGCCTTAAAGACATGAAAGCCTGTGTCAGGTGTGCGGTGAAGTACAGGTGAACTGTGCAGCTATAAATAGTCTCTAGGTGAGACTTGATAGCCTGTTGGTGGCTACCAATGAAAACCAAATAAGAAGCGCCATCATACTGTGGCAAAAAAAAAAAAAAAATCAACCACATTTTGTCATTTAGACAAGAAGTCAAGAAGTCAGAGGATCTCCCAGCTAGTTAGAGTCCCAGGTTTAATGCCGTCAGGCATATACCTCAGTTACAGGCTCAGTTGTGGCACCTGCAGGAAGGAAGCAAGCAATCTATGTGTCTCCCACCCATGTTTCTCTGTCTCTCCTCCTCTCTTCCACTCTCTCTAAAAATCAGTGAAAAAAAATCCTCGGGTGAGAATTAACAAACAAAGAGAAGTCAGAGAATTAAAGAGAAAAGATTTCTATGGGAATACTCAGTTTAGACAGCCAGGTTCTTTGCAACACCAGGAGGCCTATGAAAAGACGAGGTCCCTTCCAAAATGACTACAGGATGAGGCAGGGATCTCAGAAACAATTACACCATTTTCCAGAGAGGCTTGTTCTTTGTGTTCTGATTCTGATTTTACACAATGTGTCCGGGAACTGTGAGTGATAAGCAGCTTTACAAATCACCAGCCCCAGACGCCAGAGACACATGGCCGATGGCTGTTACAACATAGTGAGCTTGCAGCAGCAGGGTCATAAACAAAGGGAAAGGGGCATTAACCATAAGCTGATTTCCAAGGTCTGCTGGAAATCTGAACAGAAAGAGATGACGTTACAGCTCACATCTATGAAAACAGCAACAATTCAAATTGTGGGATAGAGTCAGAGCTATTTTTTTTAATTGCTTTCAGATATCATGGTGGACTTTTTTCAAATTGAAGTACAGGTCATACTTCTGCAAGCAGGCTGAGTACTTGCTGAGTGGCTGTTGAAATATCCATAGTCTGAATTTGAGGGGGTATCTGGGAGGGCCAAGCAGAGAGGCCCATAGCTGCGGGAAGGTCAAGGCAGAGCCCTGGCACTGATTATTGGGAATGAACCCAGATATCACAGTTCTGCCCTTTGGGTAAGAGCCATTTTCAGTCATCATCTCAGAGCCACTTTTTCTTTTCCAACAGTAGAAACAGCCCCCTGCTAATCAGAGCCATGGGCCTAAAGAATAGAGGTTGCAAACTGAAATGTCAATCGTGACACATGTTAAATAGGATACCTCAATCTCCTCATTGGCAAAATGGTGTTTAACCTAATTATTTAATGAAAGTAATGGGAGGTGTTGGCATTCAGGCATCCCCAAAGCCGTTTTCTACAGACATGTGACTTTTCCTTTTAACATTTTTAAAAGTCACACGAATACACTCTTTTCAGCTGATATTCAAAAGCTTCAGCTAACTATTTACAAGATTTTTTTAAAGCTGCTTTTAAGTATAGTAGAACGCCATTATCTTTCCTTCATATTAAAGGGGAAAAACTCAATGCATATGCTGCACAGATGAGAGGAGCTTTAATCTACAGTGCTATGGGCTCCGTCTCTTACTAGCTCTAAGCAGAAATCTAAACATACATAGATACTTATCTGAAAAGAACCAGACACGCCTGAACAAAGGTCAGATAATTATTTCAAGCCATTAAAGTAAAGCAAACTATCTAAACCACCTCAAAAGGAGACTTTTGGAAATGCAAAATTCGATTCATTACTTGCATGATTTAAAGGATATAAACAAACAGGATTTCCACTAAGGTATTTTTGAGAAACTTAGAAACTATGAACTTGCCTCTGATGTTTCAAAATCAGGCAAAGATCTGTTTATTTTGCTTAAATGTCAGAGTGAAATAATATGAAATATTCTTAACTGATTTGCTAAACTTGAGACATATCTAAGTCATTTAAGGGATAATAGTTCTATATGAAAATGAAAGGGGATTGGGGCATAAGAATCTATTATGAATTGTCAATATGTATTTGGCCCTGGAGAAAAAAAAAAAAAAAGAACAGAAAACACCTGACATTTCTCTTGAAGAGGACAGAGCTGATCATTCACAATGGATTGTTTTCTAGGTGACAAGCCAACAGACATTTGGGTATGACTTCAGAGAGAAATACCTCTCAGCCTTGATTCTAAAATGAAATATAAGATGTTAAGACATTCCCTAGGCAAAATCACTAAAGACTAATGTTCCATTACCAATGTGCTACTGTGCTGTGGTTATCCCTATGCTGGTCTGTCAATTAAAAAAGAGAAACCTAAGTTTAGTTCCAAACAGTCCACAGAGAACAAATGTTTAAGGTAATGTGGAGAGAATAAACTATGCTCCACAAGATCCAACAGACACTGAGCATGGAGCAAGTATTTCCTGTTGAAGTTAGAATGTGTCCCAAACTGCATCTATTTCCACTGAAGATGATAATTGGCTTTGCTATCATGTACTATTAACACTAAATAAATGAATCCATCTTATGAAGTGACTGTTCATTTTAAAACAGAAAAATCAATTTGTGAAAGTAGCAAAAAGGAAATAAAAGTAAATAACTATTCAAAGAAAATGAATTAGAAGGGAGTGTTGGCTGACGAATGTCCTAGTCGGTTTTTTCTTTGGTTGGCTTATTCCTCCAAACTCTGGTGGAGAGTCCAGACCATGATGTCTTGTGTGATTAGAGAATAGATAACTGAGCACTCACAAAGCTCATCCTAGAGAATAGCTCGCAAAATATACCAGATATGAATGGCCTGTTCTAAAGGTTTAACAATAATAATTATAATGATAATTATAATAATAATGGTTTAAAAAATAAAATAATGACTACTTCTACTAGTTACACACAAAAGAGTTTGAGTCCAGCAAAAGGCTATATTAGCAGATTCACCTCAAGTAGATAGCCTATATTCACATGTTACCTATGTATTTATAGAATGGAAATCAGATATCCAATGATGCTAATCACCTTTTTCTTTAACCCTACAAAAAAAAATGAATAAATTTCTGTCATTTTAAATTCCTGTCACATAACTATAAAATCATAATCATGAGTATTAATTACAAAACATGTGCCACCATACACACACACACACACACACATCTAAAATGCACCATGCTTTTCCTCCATTCCTCAACAGGTTGCTTTTCATAGCCAGAATCAATTATTAATTTTCCTATCTAATTTTACTTGCCAAGAGAAGGAACAAAGTTTTATATTCTCTCTACACTATAGCTCAACTACTACTTATCAAAACATAACATTAATAAAGAGTTGGCACATCTTATTGATAATTTAGATACCTACTGTTTTTCTTGTACAGAAGAACTTCAAAGCAGTTTGACTCGTAGTTGTCAAAAGTTTGCCTGACTTTCTCAATGGTCTTCTTGTCAGTCAATTCCCCGTACATAAAACTGGGGGGAAACAATCCATTTCAGTTTTGTGTTGCTTTTAAAATGCTACATAAAATCATATCCTTGTCTTTGTTGATTAAGTAATCAAATTTAATTACAAAATATAATGTTGCTCCCACAAAGTGAACTAAAATATTTATACCATATTTTTGTTATTATTGTTAAATTTGTTACTAAAAGCTAGCATTAGAAGTTACTCCAAACTTACAGAAAGAGAGCAAAAAGCAATCCTCACTTTACACAGTTCATATATGTACAGATTTTTATTACTATGGTGTAGTTAAAGAACATCAGTTTCCCAATAGCACCATTCATATTTCAGTTACTAAGGAATAGTAACTGAATAATCACATAAAGTTTGGACTTTAATGTTAGCTCTTCAGTCTACAGGTCACTGGTGAATAACAGATGACACATCATAATCGGTGACCAATCACCTCGATTTTTCAAAACTGTGCATTGGTCACTGTGCATCTGTTATTCAATTCACACACAGAAGCAGAGCACGTTAGATATGTTGCCTCCTTGTTTCTCAGTGATAAATCCACATGATATTTTATAAAAATGGAAATTGAAAGCAGGAATTAGCCATCAAAGATTAAAGTCCATCAAGAAGTGAAAGTCATAATGCTGAAGTGAATTTGAATCAAACATAAACAAGGTGAAAGAAGAAAAAGATGAATGTGGGAATGTTGACATTATTGCCATTGAGGGACTCTAGATATGCAGCCAGAGGAATTGAGTGAAGGCGAACTTACCAACATAAGTCACAAAAGTGATTGAGATGAAAGGATCAAGGGTTTCCAGAGAAAGTGATGCAAATTAAAAATGAAAAGAAGGAAGGAAGGAAGGAAGGAAGGAAGGAAGGAAGGAAGGAAGG